TACCTTGTGATTCGGGGCAAGCTTTTGCTCAGCGACCACCATCTCTGGAATGAACTGGTTCCTTTGTGCCGTTCTTATCCATTGAGAACAGTGTATTGTTGCAAGGCGTCTCTTATGTAACTATGGGAAAGCTTGCCCCGAATCACGAGGTATAGCAACAGTGCCTTTAGTGTGGAGTATTCAAATTGTTGTGTTCACGTGAATTTAAAGAACTCAGCGGACCAGATTTTATTCAAATTTAACTCGCAAAAGGCTTATTGCGTTACATTTTTTTGTGCTAATATGCAATAATAAATGTACAATACATTCGATCAGAAAAAGATGTATTTCTAATTTTTAACTAGTATTAATTTTACAGTTATTTATATTCTCTAAAAATCATTCTACATGTATAATGGGAAACAGGTGTCTTTATTTTGTCTGCCTTTTCACAGACTTCTGACTTGAAACTCTGCAAACATGGTGTATCATTGCATCTTCTGGTTCCCATTATAACCAAGAAAATATGCAGCATGCAGACACACTTCAAATGCAAACACAATTTATTAAATCTCTTATTGAAATCAACTTACATAAAGTACTGTTTATGCTGAATAACAAATTTGTCAATGCTATAGGTCCACTTAAAACACCAAAATACAAACAGTGAACAAATATAAACTCAATACACTTGACGTAAACACGAGGTAGGAAAAAATTTGTAAATTCCCAACTAGGACATATAAAAAAAATTGCATATAATGGTGATACATTGAAAAAAATTCCATAAAAAAATTCAACTAGGCAAGCTCTTGGTTTTTAGAAACTAATTTGCATCTACATTAGCTTGTTCTGGGCACCTTTAGCTATGAGAAATTTCCATTTCAGAAATGTACATCCAAGACAGGGTGCTGTAACAAGATGAAAACAACCCATGTTAATTTCTCACCATGGTTATCAACTGCAACACTGAATTATATGTAAAGCGCCTCACATTTGACCTACATCTAGGATTTAGGCAGAAAAAGGAGGGGGGGGGTGTCCAGCTGTCTTGATGACAGCTTGGAGACAATGCTGAATGCCCCTTTTTGTGAAAGTAAAAGCATAAAAACCTCAAAGGGACACCCTGCTGACTTGAATTAGGAAACAGCTGAAAGATGCAAAATTAAAAATAAAAAAAAATGGGCATCCAGAATTCTCCTTACACAAACGTCAATACAAACCTAACAAATTTGTAAAAAAAATTTCAATATTCCAGATACCATGTTGGATATGTTTAGTCTGGCTCAGACTTTGCTACAGACATATACAAAGTACATTATAATGCTTAAAGCACACTTCACTAATGATAGCAAAGGGGAAAAAGTATTATTTAACAACACTACTCTGTGGAATAGCTGTGGTAATTCTACGTGATTTGAACAATTTCACAGAAAAAAAGAAATTCTGGTTAGCTAAGTCAGAACAGTATTTTAACAAACTGCATATACACTGCAATGAATACAAACATACCTGCTCTGTAAACAGGCATGCAATTTGGACTTTGACAAAAAACAAGGAAATTCCAAACTTTACAAGACTTTGTACAGCATTTTTCAATTTTCAGGGGCATGAGAGTGAAGTGAAAAAAGAGGAAATCAGTTGCATGCCTGTATAAAAGGTTGCATCAGAAAAAAATGCAATTTTAAACGCATGGCTGGAAGGCCCATAGTGTAAGCCGTTACTTGGCATATATGGCATAGCCCAATGGCCTATGGGGCATATATGGCATAGCCCAATAGTCTGTTATCAGCAGCAGATATGACATTGTCTCATGTTAGTTCTTAACTGAGAAAAACTTGATTCTAACACAGACTTAGGCTTGCAAGACTGATCTGAAATCACCCCAGCAACCAGCATGTTCCCTTCAAATTATTGATGAATATAAAATTTCTTACAAAAAAATAAAAATTCAAGTTCCACAAAAAATTTTACCCTCCCTACTATGAGCGGGCCATGACTTAAATCATCCTTGCCTGGAGCGAGTCATAAATACTGTACCCATAGGGTTGTGACTGGGTATTTCCACAACTTGGGGGAAAAAAATTCAGCACCTGATTATATTCAGCAATAAAACTACAAATACTATAACACTGCAGAGCAACATCTTCAGCTCATTAAATTTTTGTACTGTTTCACTACATGTATTTGAATCAACAATATCTGAAGCAGCCCATAGATATTTCCAACTCTCCTCCTTCAAAATATATCTCTTTGAATAATGCATATTAAATGAATACACAATGAACAGGCTTGTCTGTGATTCTTTTTACACGCATAATTTGGAACTCAACACAATGTCACAACGGTATACTGAACCTCTCTTTGAGTACTAATCTTGTGTTTTAGCACTATTGATTTTAAATAATACAGGATTTTAATAGCCTCTTTTTCGAATATGCTTCACCACAAATACATTTGTACATGAGTTTAGAAATTGGTGTAATAGGTTTGAATGCTTGTAAGAACTGATCAGCTGTTGTTCTTTTCTTTTTTTTTCAAAGGCGTTTAATCTTTGTAAAAAGTTGTAGACCTTAGCATATCTACTCAAAGCATGTGGTTGGGTCTGAAGGGTATGTCCTCAAGAAGGTCTCTTTATTGTCTCCTACTTACTGCTATAGTTTCTTGAATTACAAAATCACCGCAAAGACTAGCCCGCTGAAAATGTTTGTGGGCGTTCTCTGCTCCACATGTCCTACGGTAGAATGAAAAACACTGCAACCCATGAACACTTTTGAGGGTAAAACGTCTGTTGAAATATGGATCATATCGAAACAAGCCCCGAAACAAGCCGTGTGAAACTTCGTACATGTGAATGCACAAGTACATTTAAAGACAATGAACAATTGGCAAATTGCTACATGTAGAGTGTGGCCAGATGACAGTGCTGCGTAGGAAGAAGCTCTGGCACCACGGTAAGTTTACAGGTTTGAATTCTGACGGACATTTTCCTCACTCACCTGACTATAACATACCTGAACATACATAAATCTGTATGCTTAAGTATCCATGCATTCGGTTAAAGGAAGTAGGGGTTAAGGGCACTGCTCAGACGCAAAAAGTCCTCATTTGTTAATCATATTTAATCAAAGAACTATAAGTGCACTAGATTGCTCAAATTACACAACTTAATTCTGTGAAAGAATATTAAGGAATGAATTCTACTTGTTGAAAAAAAGTCAGGCAGAAAGTCAGTCACAGCATGACAATATTTAATCACAACAAAATGTTGAAAGATTTTCAGTGTTGGTTCTTCTGTGATTGAGGAGTACGGAAGTATCACCTTTAAGTAGGAAGACTTTAAAATGTAAGAGAAAATTTGTTTAACTCCAGCAGACAGGAAGGGAACAAAATTTTAAAGAAAGCTGCCTCAAAGCACATATACAGAGCCTTTAATCCCGAATGCTCTTTTCCCATACAATTTGAATGTGTGGCAAGACTCCAAATTATTGTTTATCGCACCAACAAAGATTTCAGAATTACTGGAGTTACTAAAACATTAATATTACAATGTACACACTGCTCACTGGTAGTAGCACAGTCAGGCTCTTCTTTAAGGGAAGGGGGTGGGGGTGGCAGTTGACCCTGGCCCCTCAGCTATGTAGCCAGGCTCGTCTCACTGCCTAATGCCTTTTACCCAAATTTTACAGTAACTTGGCAAAAACAGCATTTTCTTGTGAAACATGCCGCTTATAATGGTGCCCACTTGTATGGGGTTGTGGGAATAACAATGCCAACTAGTCCCTTCCGTCATACTGTGGTGTGGGAAGAGGGCTGCTTGGCAGTGTGGATGAAGTCGGAAATGATGTCATACCCTGCATCTCTGGCAAGATCGGAAGCAGTGACACCCTCCTGTGTAGGGAATAGGATGGGGTGGGGTGGGGTGGGGTAGGGCCAGGTGTACGAGGAGATGGGGGAGAGAGACACAAATAGAGTTAACTTTCAGAATTGATTATTATATGTGTATTAAGATTCATCTTAATCTCAATTTTATATGCTTAGAAAAGGTGTATCATACAAGTACACATTACTTTGGGCTACTATCTTTGAGGTCGTAAGTCAGCCGAGAAGCTGTGCCATTAAGGGACAAATTCTTCAGACTTTAGGCATGTAATGTATGTTTAAAGTTTATATCTCTGTATCATAGAGATGCACATGGAAATCTCTGCCATTGTATCATTTTTGGAAAGTTGCTCTTGGCCCTACTTTCAGCTTATAGTGTCTCAGAAACAGAGGCTCTGTTGGCTAGAAAATGCCACAAAATTGAACTCTAATTTTAAAAAAAAGGGGGGAATTTATGCTCTTCCCACTGGGAACCATGTGAGCTCTCCACCGAAGTGTACCAATATGGAAACACAGTGATGAATGTGTGCCTCAGACCTGTCCACCTCAGTTTCAACATGTCAGAGGGGACATTTCAAAACTCAGGAACATTTTGACCTGCTCCAAAGCCATGTTTACTTTAATATTCAAAGTGGAAATCAGGTAAGTTTTATATTTCTATGTACCTTGTTCTTGAGATGGATGTCAGCACCAGCATGTATCAGCTGCTTGACAACTTTGAGATGTCCAAAAAGGGCTGCAGCATGTAAAGCACTCTCGCCATTCTTAATGGAACCAACCAAAAAAAGCAGGGAAATCGCATAGTTACAAAAAAAGGAGCATCGTTTATCCGTTAATTTGAAAACATCCAATACCATGTTCAGGCTTTTCATTGTCATGGTTGGTGCTGAAGCTGTTTATGGTTTCCAGAAATGATAAAACCACTAGCACCCGGGGTCACACCTAGGGTCTCTGGACTTGCAGCCTCAGCAAACTCCTAAACAGGATATTTGAGGTTTGCTAAAGCTTTTGCATTCATACCAATCGTGGTTTGTTCAATATTAATGTTGCAGATGGGTGTTGGTATTTGGTCAGCAAGGCAAATGGAATTGATGTGCATCTCTCCTCTTCATTTCATACATGTACAGTGTACGTGTGTACAATTTTGACACTGACACTCACTGAAATGCAAATGTAATACAAAGTCTTCACAAAATGTCATAGGTGTACATATCCACACAAACTGACCAAATCCACACTTCAAATGAAAAATGCGACCCCTGGAGGAAAATAGCGGCACCCTCAGGATATTAAAAGAAACTTAATAAGACTTTACAGCAGCGCAATTTTCCGTCCTAATATCACTGCTTATTTGGATTCAAAATGACTACACAAACAAGTTGGCTCCATGACAAAATCACAACTTGTCTGTACTTACACGGTGCTCAACTCACAAGAAGGTTAGCTAGTAACCCAAACTTTGGGGGGATTTTTATTTTTGTACTTTAGGTATGATAATTTGATTTGTGAGCAGCAAGGCAGAAATCTCTTAATCACTAAATCAACGGGTAAATTTACCTCCAGCAAACCCAGTGAAGCACCATGGCTGACCAGGTCGGACACACAGTCAGTGTGACCCTTGTGTGCCGCCTTGAAGAGAGGAGTGGCACCGTCCTGTCAGTCAGAAAGAAACATCATGAATATATGTACATATTCCTTTTTGAAAGGATCAACTAAGGTACACGTTTGTCTGGGCAAATGATGGAAGTTGAAGTGTACAGAATTCAACAAATTATTATGCAGCGTGTTACAGCTTGGAATACACATAGTTGATGGCCCGCTGGATTGAACTCACTTCCCACAATGCTTAAATTGACACTAATATCCTTTAAAATGTGTTTCCTGCTTCAAAGAGATGGACGTTTTTTCACTTGAAAGTACATGTAGTTATGTACAATTCTGTTCCTACTTTCAACTGAACAAAATGAACAAAGTATGGCGTATTGATTGTAGCTGGCACCGTGTTCTCGATGGGTACTGCACATTACTCGCACATTACTGGCATGTTTAGTTCAACTTCTTTATTTCACACTTGCAATGTCATTTGATTCACTGAACATTACACAGCCCTCTTCACACTAAAAGACCAGTGTGGTGAGGGGAAGAAAACAGACAGAGAGACCGACCAACAGATATGAATATCTGACCACTAATCTCTTGCACTGCAAATCTAAACCATATTTATTTTACATGGTGGGTGTGGTCACTAGGTGACTACCTGTATCTAGACCGAAAAGCTGACAGTGACTGACAGAAACACAACTGGACAGCTACACACACATCTATTTACAGGGACAAGCAAAGAAATGTCTGATTTCTAACCTCCCTTGCAGAATCAATCTTAGCACCATGGGAGATCAGCTCTCTGATGATGTCAGCATGGCCCATCTGAGCAGCAATCCACAGGGGGCTCGCCTTGTCCTGTGGAAATCAAAAATTCAGTAAAAAGAATCCTAATTTTGTCATTGTTTTAGATGTCATTAATTAAGTATCAAATCTGGACCAGATTCTAGTCACTAATAGCCTTCATACTAAGAAAATCAACATCAAAAAAAAATTTGCAATGTTCATTTTAGTAGAAGATGGCTGCAGGTGTGTTTTGCCCTTTAAATAGAAATTAAAACCAATTTACACAAGCTTGGCAGCTTTCTGCATAGTATATGCAAAGTACTAATTAATGTGGACTTTGTGCATACAGTTCAGTTGACTACTGTAGTTGACTACATGTAACGGTATGCTTTTAAGTGATATTGAAACCATTGTCTTTTTCAAGATGTATTTTTGCGTTGGGGAGATGTTAATTTATATGACAGGTTTTTTTCCCCCAGCTCAAAAATACATCTTGAAAATAGTTCGCGGTACCTGCTGCTTCACCTGACTTGGACCAGCCAGCCGACCCCGGCAAGCTCAGTGGTCAAGTGGTTAAGACGTCTGCACTAGTAAGCAGGAGGTCGTGGATTTGAGTCCCACCTGAGTAAGCTTGTGGATTTTTTTGCAAGCTCTCGGACAAGCACTGAGCATACAGTGTTTATCAATATATACGTTGGGCAAGAGCAAAACCTGTTATATAAGGAAACCAATGCCACTGAAATACACGTAAGTGGGCGATATTTTATCACTGATTCTGCCATGCGCACATTGTTCCATTTCTCCTGAGTAATAGTGCCATGAATCGTACTCACTCAGTCGAAAAATGGGCCATGCACACACTGTGCCATGTGCACGCCCTGAGCCAATGACCAAACACAACATGGCTCAAAGTAAGTAACCTACTGAGTGCTACATGGGGGGAACAGGCCACCCGGGGAAGTTTTTGGCACAGAGGGTGAGGGTCAAGAAGTACAATTTACCACTCTTGATTGGTTAATGTCACAGTCTCTTTCCAGGAGGTACTTGAGCATGTTGTAGTGACCATTCTGTGCTGCGATGAAAAGTGGAGTGGCACCGTCCTGGTAAGTGAAGACATCCGAGAACAAATTACTCAGCATAAACTTACACACTGCACTTATTTACGAATAATTTTCCCACAAACTTAGGCTTGAACTGAAATAACTCCATCTGAAAACTTGGACAAATTTGGCATTTGTAGTCCCTCTGACCCTAAAATTTTAGTTTGATGTCCGACAACCTTACTTCTTTCTAAGTACGACCTACTGCAGTAAGAAACTGGTAGTGGTCTGGTAAAATTCTCAAGCTTGTTGATGCTAATGCGCTGGGCACACTCCGTCATACTCACGTTCATGGTCCGGTGCACATCGGCTCCTCTCGAGACAAGCTCTTTGACAACGTCGAGGTGGTTACACTGGCAGGCTACGAACAGAGGAGTGCCTCCATCCTGCACAATAATATTCACTGTTAAGGGCTTTGTGCAAATGCATTCACCCCCTCCCCCTCGTCTGCGAGCAAGAAGCAGGCTGATGAGCCAGCCACCTGGTTCTGTCTTCTTGTACTCCATGTAGGAATAAGGGATGGTGTGCTTTTCACAGGACAGTGACTTCCCTTTGGTGGGAACTCACCCCATGCGGGTTCATGGGCAGTTGGTGCAGAACGCATCGAACATGCGTAACCAATTGTTGGACCAAGCCGCCCTTACACATGCACCAGGTGCGGGCATAAGTTTGGTTAATAAACTTCCCACAAGCTTGTCTATCCTCTACAAATGAGATGGCACTTCAGAGCAGATTTACAGATGCAACGTACAATGGTTTAAGACCCAGATATTTCATAATTTTTTTCCCCTCGATATTATGCTTTTAATCAATTCAGTAGCATTTAATGAGATAACATTCACCAAAAATTATTTTGTTTTTTAATAGTTTTACCATATATTCCCCTGAATTACGCACCTTAGCTTTTTTGAAGAAAGGTAGGCTTATAATTGATGAAAAAAAATGCCAACAAAACCCTGCTTTTCAAAAACAAAATTATATCTTCAGAGAGAAACCTTTGCATTATTTTGTAGCTTGTTAGACTCTCTTTCAGCTGATACAAATGTGCTTTCGAAAAATATTGAATAGAGTGCAAAAATTCGCATTTAATTTTTACAATAAACTATGAAAAGTACCAAACAAGAAAAATGCACATCGACATATGTTTGTTGATGCACATTTACAATCGGCCAAATTGAAAATCCACAAGGACTCTAAATGAGTTCTAAAGACTTGCTAAATTGTTTTAATTGATAAGAGTGAAAATAATTTGATAGTATTCACTGATGTCTGGGTCAGGTAGGGTTTTAAACCACTGTGCAACGATGCATGAAAATGCAAGAAATGGTCTACCCACTTCTCCTGCTATATTACATATACGTACATAAACAAGGAATGGCAAGCATTAATGAGCCAAGTGCAAACGTCCCGCAAATGGTGTCAGGGCACTTGCCAATGGTATTATTTTGTGCTAAACATGTCATTTTTGTTCAATTTTCAGTACAGCGGCTGATACACAGCCAAATGTCATGAATTCTGATTCGCACAAGTCCCTTGAGACATATTTTTATAATATATTTCTATGAACTAATCCGATTAGACGCCATAACTGCGGTGGCACCGCACTCACACGCACATTCTTCAGCTTAACACGCCCGTACATTTGGCAATCACGACAACCTATTGGTCGAAGAGGCATGTAACACGCGCGTACCACCTGTCTAAGAGCGCTGTGCCACCACAGTAACGGCTTCTAATTCTGGTGGTCGAATTACAGTAGAATCATACTGTAACCACTGTACAGCTAAAACAGGCCATGTGAAGCAGCCACGTTCACTTTCAAGTTCCAGCTCCATGGACTTCTTGGACTTTATGTACATTATGTGCATATTAACAAACGAGGAATTAGCATGTTAAGAAACTGGCAGGTTACAAACTTGTATTCCAGCAGGGAGAAATAAGGTGGCCCTACACATACATGAAGCTGAGTACCTGACTTGGTAGATCCACTGATGCTCCCCTGTCAAGTAGTTCCTTGACTATGTCTTGGAAACCACCTTGGGCTGCAAAGAACAGAGCACAGGTACCGGTCTAGGGAAGAAATAAAAAGCCAGAATCAAGTGAGTTTTTAAGATGATAAACCTACATGTAGGAGATTTGTACTGTAAATTCCTTTCAAGATGCAACCTGCTGTATACGTACAGTGTATGCCACAGATCAACTAGTCAACCAGCAGTAGTGAGTACACCTTGATCTTCATTTCTTATGAGTGATGCATAAAGCTCCTTGACTGCATTGATTTCATGATTAAATATTTTCTCTCTTCCAAACGTAACTGTTACTTTAATGGATGGGGGGGCAGGCTTGCTTACATTTCTCCTCTCATCCAGCTGTGCTCCCTGGTCCAGAAGCTCCTTGACGCACTGCAGGTGGTTATTGGCTGCTGCGAGTATCAGAGGTGTTGTCCCCTCCTGCAATAAAAAAAAAACAAAATTGAATCATTCATGCTTTTTGCACAAATGAACTCCTAGTGATGTTGTTCCATCCAGGAACAAGTTTAGGGACAGTCCATAAAGTACGTAGGCATGAAATGCAGGCTTTTCAGACCCTCCCCCCATATGCATGACATACGCAGTGACTCCAACCCCCATGCACACACACACACGCATTCCGGGAGATGCTGCCGGTCTTTGTGTCATGAGTAATGTTGCGGCTTACTAATAATAGGCGCGGCGTTTGCACGGGAGGATAAATGGTGGGGTGGACGGTGGAGGATACCGTTTGAGCAGTTTTTGACGTACAAAAGCGGATCCTAGTACAGTACAAGTATGTATGTATGTACATGCACATGTATTTGTATGAGAAAGTGTACATTGATATGAAAATTCATTAAAGCCAAAGTTTCGCTTTGCGCAGGCTTGAACCCTCTCCCCCTTTGTACGCATGGTGTACGCAATGGCACCAACTCCCCTCCCCTTTGTACGCATGGTGTACGC